GTGAGAAGAAAAAATATATATATATATATATATATATATATATATATATATATATATATATATATATAAAATGTGTTGTTTAATGTAATAGTGTAATGTCCTTTAATGTAATAGAGAATTACGTTAAATAACTGCAAAGATAATTGATTAATTTTATGTATATTTTCTCCATTTACTTCGCAGTTCATTTTGGACCCTGTGTTTAGATGCTGACATACCTCATATGCATAATCAAATAGCTCCAGTATGGTCAGGATACTTGCACCGATAAACAAGCCCATCTGACCACCAATATCACCTGCAACATAAATATATTTATGATTTAGAGGAACAGCGAAAGAGAGAAAAGATGAAAGACACAGTATTCATAATACAGTGTGCTGTGATACCTAGTAGACCCGCCACCTCGTATGCTTTCTTCTGCTCTATGGTCTCATAATTCAGAGCCTCAAAAAACACATCCAGAACTAGGATATTGTCCCTGCATCAACAGAACACAAAGAGTGATGTTTTGAAGTTACATTTTCATTCATGGCAAAACCAGAAAACAAGTTTCCTGCAAGAAGTAATTCGTTTGTTCACACCAGAAACAATTATGTTGGCTGACACAGCCAAGTAGACGATTTTTGATGTTAAATATTAAGCTAATTGGAGAAGGATTTTAAACCAATGAGATTTCACTGTAGGTGGAGCTACCGTGTGTGATACAACAGAAATAACAGCCAAATGACCAACAGAATGTCATGGTACTGATAACATATCAGTACCACTAGTTATTCTAGTGTTTTGAATAGAATACTTCTGCACTAGTTGACATCTACCCTAACATAAAAGAGTTACAGTTTTACAGTAGGATCAAATCTTTTGCTTTTTGACACAAGCAGACACACACAAACACCTTTCTGACAGCAGACTCAAGACTGGGCCAAAGGCAAATTAACTGTTATTAGATGTTAGTTGGTAAACTGCAAGAGGGCTAACCTCCAAACCCTGACAAAAATTACACTAGCATTATCGCAACCATTCATTACGCCTCTATTATGCTTCAGAGATGATTGATCTTGGCATGACCAATAATTTGCATGCATGTGTAGAGGAGTTAAAGTAAACAAGTTTTTTTCTCTATTATCATAAAATTAAGCAGTCTAGAGAAGCTTATCTCTCTAGTGGGACACCAGAGTGATGATATGCTGTCTGCTTTATGCTGATTTAATTGACTCGGCGCTTGAGCAAAATCTCGGTGTGTGTGTGTGTGTGTGTGTGTGTGAGAGAGAGAGAGAGAGAGAGTCAGTATTCCCAATAGCTCCACGTCTCAGACACATCAATCACAAGCTTATAGCTATGACGATGAACTAATGAATGGAGAGGATGTGATATCTGTCACTATATTGAAGAACAACTCCCTGAATCTTCCTGACACAAAGCAAAAGTGTTCTCAACTTGTCAGCTAAATGTCTAGAGGAGAAATAATTATGTCTGAAGAGCCACATCAAATGTCCTGGTGTACTAATGTTCCTTTTATTGTAGAGAAGCATGTCCATTTCAAACGCACCTCAAGTAGGACAATAACACACAGGGGCAGTTTCTTTGACACAACCAAAGCTTTCTCCCACATTCCAGTGTCCATTTCGTCATGTACAGTGTTACAACCAGGGTTGTGCTTGATTCGTAGTGGAACTGCTATGTCAATTCCATTATAATTAATTTCCTGAATTTGTACTTGAGCAATTATATATGCTAATTTTAAATTAGAATTTAGTATGTAAATTAAAATAGAACACAATTCAAAAGCAATCCAATTGTTTAGGTGTAGTTTATAATTTTAATTATACTTTTCATTATGAATGATCAATAAACAGTCACAATTGCACTTTCCAGAAGCATTACATTGTTTTTTTAAGCACACACACACACACAGTTCAGAAGCTGTTTTTTTTAAAATAAGAAATTAATACTTTTATTCAGCAAGTATTAATTTAATTGATCAAAAGTGGCAGTAAAAAATCATATACCCCCCCCCCCCCCACACACACACACACACCTCAAAATAATACTGATTTCATTGTATTTTTCATCAAACCTTTGCAGCCTTTGTGAGATTTAAAGACTTCTCAAAACAATAAACATTCAAATGTTTGACTATTTTTGAATTATTGGTCTTACTAAATTGTTTTGTTTTGTGACCTTGAGCTGCAATTCATTAAATTCCTCTTCCCATCATTTCAATTTAACCTGTGGTTCATGTCCAATTTAATTAAATCTTGTGAATAAAATGAAGTCAGTTCTTAATTTCAGAATTTTTCTCAAGCCTAACAACACCACAGCTCATCCCTGCTAGAAAAGCACAGGCTTGTGATCAATAACAAGCTCCATATCTCTGTGATCTTGATATAAGGTGGAACATTAACTGGTAATTTTACAAATTGGTGGCAGTAGTGAGGTAAAGTTAAAACATGTGAAAGGTATTACAAGGACAACAATTAAAAAGTCTGGAAAGTTGCAACATACCTTAAAAAATACTTCAGAGACCCTTTGAATGCTGAATTCAAAGCTGTTTTGATGTATTTGAGGGGAAAGTGACTTTTAACATGGATGTGAGATGTGTACTCACGTGATGTACTTCTCTGATCGATTGAACTTCTTCTCCAGGTAGCGTGCAGAGGTTTTACTGGGGATCTTGACCATGGAAAGCTCTTTGTTGTATCGAGTCATGTTACAGGGGCTCCTGCAGATGCAGTTTGTGCCTTCAACAGCTGACAGAGCAGCTACGGAAAGCATGAAAGGGTATAGAAGAGGGGAAAAAGAAAAGAGAAAAAGGAAATGAGGAGAGACGGGAAAGGGTACAGTGAAAAAAGGGAGAATATATGTCAATTCTTTCTGCAGGCAGCATTCCTGGGTTCTATGTATGATGTTACTTGTAGAACAACTGACAATGTAAAGAACATGAGGTCGTCTTATCCTTTTCTGCACACAGAGGGTCTTTTCAATGTCTTCACATACACACACATACAAACACACTGATTGAAGTATAATTCAATTTTTGGCCTTGTCAGAACACTTTCAAATCGCTACTGTCAACTCTTGACGGCTTAGAAAATATTACGTGTGGCACTTTTGATTACCTTTAGAAAGATACTGCAAGCATTCTGATGAAAGCCACCACTACGAATCTGATAAGCAAGGATCATATTGTCAAAGTGTTTTCTAACATTCTAGAGAAACTTATTGAAAAACAGAAGACTGATTGATTGACAGGTGAAACATTTACTGTAAAAGTATTTATCTTCAATAAACATGCTGACATTTAGCTTTCAGTGAATGATAAAGAGACTCTAAGACTCAATGTTTCAGTGAAGTGAGTCTGTGCCTCGCTAGTCAAAGCATCCTAAGCAATGTGTACAGGATTGCAATTGGAATGCCAATCATAGTTTGGAACCAAACCTAAAGTATCCTTATGGAATCAAATGAATATATATACAGTTTGTACTGTGACGAGCGTCCCGAAGCTGCATCAGCGTCGCCCTGGAAACAAGCGAGGAACACCTGGCCGTCCTCATCACAGGCTGATCGGTCATAGCTGCAGCTCATCAGGCGGGGGCCACATAAGCCACGCAAGCCCTGCCATCTAGGAGAATCCTCCATGAGACTAAGCACTAACTCGCCCTCTCATTTCTCCCACAGACAGCAGCGTGTGACCGACCAGCCCCACAGGAGCACTGCAAAGACCCTCTGCACTGGGAAGACGGAAGAGAGCACTCACGGCACCGGAGCACCTACCTGGACCTTTCTCCCTATCACCCACCACACCAATAAATCCACCCTCCGGGGTATTGATTGAGATTACTTGTCGTGTATTCTTCACCCCGTTACACTGGTGGAGAATGCGGGCAAATCAGTGAATAATCACCGACAAGCGATCTTCTTCACCTCACCTTTTTTCCTTGTTTTTGTCTCCGGGTTCTGTCACAGGCGAGCGCTCCTCCCCCACCATGGACGAAATCCTCCAGCGGCTCACCGAGGTTAACATCCGCCAGCAACAAATCGTTGAGCACTTCGCCACCTGTCAAGGAGAGACGGAGCAGGAGCTCGCGGCCCTGCGTGCCGCCGCCGCTCAACGCGTTCCGCTGCCGGTCCCCCGAGTACAAGCTGCGAAGCTGCTACCCAAGCTGACCCCTCATGATGACGTAGAAGCCTTCTTAAAAATGTTCGAAGCGACAGCCAGCACGGAAGGATGGCATAGGGATGACTGGGCGTGGGTGCTGGCTCCCCTGCTGACGGGCGAAGCTCAGCGTGCATACTTCGCTCTTCCCGCTGCCTCCGCTGCTCAATATAAGGAGGTCAAGAAGGAAATCCTAGCCCACCTGGGGTTATCCCCTATCTGTGCCGCCCAGCACTTCCATGAGTGGGAATATAAGCCCCGACTGCCGGCCCGTGCCCAGGCCACCGAACTCACGCGACTCGCACAGCACTGGCTGCTGGAGGGGGCTCCATCGGCTGGACAGGTGGCGGAGTGCGTGGTGATTGACCGTCTCCTCCGAGCCCTTCCCCGATCTCACCGACAGGCAGTTGGGATGAGGAACCCAACCACCACCTCTGAGCTGGTGGAGGCTGTCGAGCTGGCGGATGCAGCCCAACACCGGGATGCTGGGGAGCGAGCGCCGCAGTTTCCCCAGAGGGTGGTCCAGGAGCGGCGCGTGCCGGAGGGCACCCCGCGACCAGTAAGCAGGCCGGTGGCTCCCTCTCCACGGGATGAGCCCATGCCAACGGAAGTCCCTGCACGTCCGCCGCCGCCGCTCAACGCGTTCCGCTGCCGGTCCCCCGAGTACAAGCTGCGAAGCTGCTACCCAAGCTGACCCCTCATGATGACGTAGAAGCCTTCTTAAAAATGTTCGAAGCGACAGCCAGCACGGAAGGATGGCATAGGGATGACTGGGCGTGGGTGCTGGCTCCCCTGCTGACGGGCGAAGCTCAGCGTGCATACTTCGCTCTTCCCGCTGCCTCCGCTGCTCAATATAAGGAGGTCAAGAAGGAAATCCTAGCCCACCTGGGGTTATCCCCTATCTGTGCCGCCCAGCACTTCCATGAGTGGGAATATAAGCCCCGACTGCCGGCCCGTGCCCAGGCCACCGAACTCACGCGACTCGCACAGCACTGGCTGCTGGAGGGGGCTCCATCGGCTGGACAGGTGGCGGAGTGCGTGGTGATTGACCGTCTCCTCCGAGCCCTTCCCCGATCTCACCGACAGGCAGTTGGGATGAGGAACCCAACCACCACCTCTGAGCTGGTGGAGGCTGTCGAGCTGGCGGATGCAGCCCAACACCGGGATGCTGGGGAGCGAGCGCCGCAGTTTCCCCAGAGGGTGGTCCAGGAGCGGCGCGTGCCGGAGGGCACCCCGCGACCAGTAAGCAGGCCGGTGGCTCCCTCTCCACGGGATGAGCCCATGCCAACGGAAGTCCCTGCACGTCCCGCACGGACCTGGCTGGCCGGCTGCATTGTGCACCCCGACCTGCCGGTTGCAGCTCCAGAGGTGGAAGTGAAAGTGAATGGAAAGCCGTTCCGGGCCATCCTGGACTCGGGCAGTGCGGTCACTCTGGTCCAGTCGCATATTCTCGCTCCCCGAACGGAGTATATAGCCTTCCTCCCCATAACCTGTGTCCACGGGGATACACGACAAGTTCCCGCTCGCAGGGTGACCATTTCGGCCGCTCCCGGCGCCTGGCCGGTGGAAGTCAGGGTCATGAAGGATCTTCCCGTCCCCGTGCTGATCGGGAGAGACTGGCCAGGGTTTGACCGCCTGCTGGCCATGGCTATGCAGCCTGCCAGCCCAGGAGGGGGCCGCCGAAGAAGGAGGCCCACGACAGGACCTCGTCAGCGGCCCATGCTTCTGGCCTCGGATAGCGGGAGGAAAGGTGAGTCCCCCTCCCAAAATCCTAACGTCTTCTATGATGTGTTCCAACAGGTGACGGGAGGGGGCTCATTTGGGAAGGAACAACGGGAGGACGACAGGCTGAAGCATGGCTGGACCCAGGTCCAGGTCATTGAAGGCAAGGAAGTTCAGCCTGGACCCCACCCTCTCCCACATTTCGTCGTGCAAAATGGCCTGCTCTACTGTGTCACGCAGCGACGGGGGGAGGAAAAATTATTTCTGGTGGTGCCACGCACAAAGACGGAGACCGTGTTGGAGCTGGCCCACTCGCATCCCACAGACAGCAGCGTGTGACCGACCAGCCCCACAGGAGCACTGCACGGACCCTCTGCACTGGGAAGACGGAAGAGAGCACTCACGGCACCGGACCTACCTGGACCTTTCTCCCTATCACCCACCTCACCAATAAATCCACCCTCCGGGGTATTGATTGAGATTACTTGTCGTGTGATTCTTCACCCCGTTACTATATATGTATATATACATACAGGTGCATCTCAATAAACTAGAATGCCATGGAAAAGTTCATTTATTTCAGTAATTCAGATCAAATTGTGAAACTCGGAATTCACTGTTTGAGTGACTGGGCTTGAGTGATTTTACGCCAGCACACATCCCGCATGCCTCACTTGATCTGCCAGTGTGTTTTACACGAGAGAATCAGCGCCCCTTGTTCCATCGAGCGGTGCAATCCTTCTAGGCGATCGGAATGGAATGCTGTCACTGACAGCTTTGCATTTGTATGTGCGTAGCGGAGGCTGCACTCACTGAGACAGGCTGCTTTCACTATGAAAGCATGAGTCCACCCCTGCTCTCACGAATCTCCCCTCCCAGTTACCTCGGAGAAAGAAACAGCGAACACGCGGGTTTGAGCGACCAGGCCTGAGTGATTTTCACGCCGGCACAGCTCCCGTGTGCGCCACTCTCCACGCAGCTCTTTGATCTGCCATTGTTTTTGACACGTGAGGATCAGCGCCTCTCGCTTTGTCGAGCGACTCAATCCTTCTGGGCGAATCTGAGTACAATGCTGTTACCAATGATTCATATCGCTGACAGCTTAGAGTTAGAGTGCGCCGCTCGCCTGGGCCACGCCCATGCTGAGGCTATGCTGACTGAGACAGACCGCTCTCACTACAAGAGCGTGTGTCCCGCTCTGCTGCGCTTGCGGTTCGCTCCTCCCCTCGTCCACTACGAGCGGATTTTAGAAAATGTGCAGCACCTTTAATCTGCCGGTGTGTTTACACAAAGATCATCAGTATCCCTCTTCTAAAGAGTGGTTTTGATCTTTTTAAGCTGATTGAAGGTGAATGCTGTCACTAATGTTTTCTGTGAGCACATGGCTTGTGTTGTGTTTGTTTGGTGCCATGTGCTCTATCCTGTCTATTGTTATGTCTGCATGTAGTGCAGTTCCTAGCCTGCCTGTCTGTTTTTCCCCCTCGGGGTTGTTTTAGTTTCATTTTATTATTAAAAGAAAGAACCATTCATCCTGCACTTGAGTCCTTGCTTCATCTCTCCACACGCACCGTGACATAACGGAACAGCCAACATGAGGACTCAGCGGAGAAATGGCTCACTCCATCTACCGGTCTCCACTCTCTCCAGCCCCCTCTACCAGCGCGCCCAAGCTCAAGCCCCATGCCCTGCTGGCTCCACCCAAGCTCAAGCTTCATGCCCTGCCGGCTCCCTCCTTGAGGCAGGCTCCGCTCTTGCTGCCTGCCAAGCTGCCGGCCCCGCCCTGCCCTGGCCTCCTGCCCTGCTGGTCCTGCCCTGGCACCCTGGTTTACCTCTATCTCCAGGCCCTCTTCCCCTACACGGGCCTGGCCCACCATCCCTCCCCCT